TTCCCTACAGTTTTTAGTTCTGTTTCGGGATCTGTCAGTTTCATCTGAGATCTAGTTAGGAAGTACTCTTCAGTCACAGTGGATTTAGGCTCATCTGGACGTGGCTAATAAAAAAGTAAGAGGAATTTAGGTGTAAGGAATCACAAAATCCTCTATGAATTTCTCATATTCCTGTTTACCCCAGGTCTGCCGCTGTTTTCTTCCTGAGACCTGCCTGTGCCCCAGACTGGCTGAGTCTTGAGAGGGGCAGGGACGGGGCTGTGAGGGATCCTAGAACGTCAGGCCTTGAGCCAGTATAGGGCCGCACCCGCGTCTTTGCTCATCAGCCAGTACCTGCGGGCACCTCCGGCTTCGCAGCTCTGCCATCACCACGCGCTCCCCCCGGTCCTGACCCGACACACGGTGGGCCTGCCTGCAGGAAGAGTGGTCGCCTAAAGGCAGAGGCCTGGCTGGGCAAGGTGTGGGCCCCAAGGGGCCAGGAGGGGCCTTGGGGTGAGGATGGAGGAAGAATCTGGATGTGGGCCTGGCAGGAGACGGAGGCTGTGTCTGTCCCCCACAGCCCAGCACAGAGGACCAGGGTGGGACGGGAGGGCCCAATCCTGGGGCTTACGCTGAAGCCGCGCGCGCGTGCGTGCGCATGCCCGAGGTGTGGGCAAGGCTTGTGCGTTTGTTTACGGCTTCCTGTGGCACCGTGAGGGGGGCAGAGCTGACCCCACCCTGGCAGTGCCAGCACTGTCATTCTCCCCAGGGGGCAGGCAGTGACAGTCAGTGGCCAGGAGGCTGATCCTGTCAGCAATAGGGGTGGTGGTGCAAGGAGACTGCTGAGACGGACAGTTGGTGGCAGGTGGACAGACTGGAAGGTGGAGCCACCAGGACCTGTGGGGCTGACCCATGGGGGTGAGGACCCTAGGGTGTTGGCCTGAGCTGCTGGGTGGTAGATGGTGGTACATCTGCAGAGCCGGGAAGACAGGAACTTCCCAAGACAAGCTTTGTGGGTCTTGGCTGAGTTGGAGAGGCAGAGGCTGAATGTGTCACCTTGGGAGTCAGAGTGTCACAGAACCGGGTGAGGTGACCCAGAGGCGCATGTGGGTGGAGGAGGGCCCCCAGCTGAGGGGAGAAGGCAGAGGGCATGGAGGTGGGGGAGAAGTGAATGGTGGTGATGAAGGAGCCTCCAGCCTCTGCCCTGGTGGGATCTACCTTCTCTCCTCACCCAGGGTGCTGGCTGGGGAGGTCGCCAGGAGGTCCAGACCGGTGGGTGTCTCCTGCAGGGAGTGAGTGGCCATGACTTCGAGGCCAGGAAAGCCACGTGCAGGAGTGGCTAGGAGGGCACTCTGAGGGTGGCCAGCGGCGGAGGCCCGGGGAATGGGGGGTGGCGTGGGCCGTCCAAGCACGCCTGGATCCAGCCTGATGGCCTGGCAGTCCGGCTGGGGTTACCGGGGTCAGGTGACCGGGAGCAGGGGTCTGGAAGGATGGGGGCGGTTTAGATGGGAGCAAGCTCGGGGCCGGCCTTGCACTGCGCATTGATTAGTTGAGGCTCCGCCCCGGCTGGCAAGCCCCGCCCCACGCCTCCCGGCTCCTCCCCCAGGCTGCGGCTCTGGCCTGGGCAGTGCAGTGCGGGGCTGGACTCTGCGTGGCGGCCCGCGCGCCGCCCTCAGCCCCGGCGGAGACATGGACCCCTCGCGAGCCATCCAGCATGAGATCAGCTCCCTCAAAGGTGCGGGCCGGGGATGGGGACAGAGCCGGAGGGTGGGGAGTGTGGACCAGGCAGTGACCTCTGGCTGGGTGCAGCCCCCACAGGGCAGCGGTCGGGGTCTGCCGCCGTGGGGGCAGCTTTGTGGGTGGGGAGCCGGAGCCGCAGGAGACCCCATGTCCGTGTCCTGCCGGGACTCCACCTGGCGCGAGGTCCGCCTGGAGCTGGCCGGGGTGACTCCAGCCGCAGCCCCGCAGCCCTGCAGCCCTGCAACCCTGCAGCGAGTGTCGGGGGGCGGGGCGGGCTACTGCGGCGGCGGGGGCGGGGCGGAGGTGGGAGCCGGCCTCCGCCACCTCTCGGATCCGCACTTTCTCTCCTCCCGAACTCTGCCGAATCCCCGCCCCGCTTGTCGGCCTGCCCCCCAGCGTCGAAGGGGACAGGGCAGGGCCTTGGGGATCGATCACTGGCGGGGGAGGCGCCAGGCGGGCTGGCCCCGGGCAAGTCCACACTGCGGGTCTTTGTTCCGGAATTGGGGGGGGGGCGCTGGGGGCTGCCCAAGGACCCCGACTGGTTGCCCTGGAGATCCGCAGGGGCCTGCAGTGGGGTGGAGGAGGCCGCCCTGTTTGTCCGCCCCGGTCCTTCCTGTGCTGAATCAGCAACTGCGGCTGCGATTCCCGCAGGGTGGGGGCAGGGCAGAAAGGGGTGTTCTCCCAGCCCTGGGACCTGGGGGGCGCGGGGGTGGGGGGATGGGGTAGAGGGAGGCGTGCCGAGGACGGCACCGCGGGCCAGACCGGGAACGTCTAGTTCCAGGCTCCTGCCTGCTCCTCCCCTCAACCCCCGAGGGCGGGGCTGGTGGGAGGGAGGGGGATTCCCCTTCGTGCCCCGCCCCCCCCCCCTTTCTTCAGCGTCCCAAACTGCTGCCCTCTCCTGCGGGGATGGCGTGGGTTGTCACGGGGCTGAGGGGCTTGGCCAAAGACCCGTGCAAGTCTGTGCGGAAGGAGGAGAGACCTTAGGTCTGAGGGCCTTGGGTGTGGTTTGGAATCATTTTGGGAGGAGGCATGCTGTGGGGTCGGTTTGGTAGGAGGCTTGGGGGTTGAGGGGTTAGGTCGGGGAATCAAACCAGGGAAATGTGCGGTGGACGTATGGGGTGGTTAGAAGGGAGAGGAGGTCAGAGTGGGGCTGTGGGGTGGGCAGGGGAGTGCACGGGAGATAGGGGTGGGGCAGGGGGAGCGCAGGAGGTCCGGGGGAAGGCTGAGGGTCAGGCCAGGAGTGGGTCTTCCGTGGGCACAGGACCGGGCCGGGCCACTGGCCTGAAACCACAGCTGGTGTTGGTTCCCGAAGCCACAGCCGTGGTGCCCGGCAGGGTCCGCAGGCGCCGCTAGTCTGAGGGGGCGTGGCCGTTGCCCACTCCAGCGCCTGCTGGGCGTCCTCCCCGAGCCGGCGCCCCGCCCTCCCCGGCCGGTGTCCCGCGGGGATGGTCCCCTTCCCGCCGGCGGAGGGAGAGCGGCGCCGCAGAGCTGGCGGGCCGGGCTGTGGGAACAGTTGGCTGTGCCTGCAGTTTCCTCTGCCACAACTCGTGTGTGTGTGTGTGTGTGTGTGTGTGTGTGTGTGTGTGTGTGTGTGTTGGGAGCCGGCTCTGCACTGCCATGGCAACGGCCTCATAAACCCGCCCCCACGCGCAGCCTGTTGGCCGCCTGCCCGCCCGAGCCTCCCACCTCGGGATCCCCCCCCTTCCGCCCTATTTATAAACAGTTCCCGAGTTAGCAGTGCTGGGAATGGGTGTGTCCGCTTGGGGGAGGGGAGAAAGCGCGGGTGCAGGTGTGAGTGGTGCAGCACCAAGTGGGAGAGCGGGGTATTGGGTGGAATAGGGAGGCGCGGGATGTCCGTGGTTGGAGCCTCAGCTCTGAGGGCCTAGGGGTGACTGCTGGGCGTGGCCGGGCCAGGCTGCAGGGTGTTCACGTGGAGCACACAGCCCCTTCCCCCCGCCCCCGCTGCTGATCCCCATTTCACTGGGGGCCCCCGACCCTCTTCTAGCCTGGTGCTACTCTCCCCTCATCTGTCCAGCTGGCTCAAAGGAGGCAATCAGGCTGCCCAGGGTGGGGTGTCTCCTGGCGGCAGGGGCTCTGGGCCGCAGGTGGCTTTGGGTCCCTGTGGCAGCTGAGAGCTTCTGGCCTCCAACAGCTGGCCTGGGGCGGTGGTGGATGGAGGCCACTCAGAACCCCTACCCTGTGCCCTGCGCACAGTGCTTGGACTCTCAGCCGACTCCCTGTTCCTGGCCCACCCTTGATCTGGCCTGGCATGGCAAGTGTTAAAGAGGGTGGCCGCTGTCTGGGTCTGACATTTGGAGGTGGGGGCTCTGTCCCTTTGCCTGCTTGATGGACAGCAGCCAGTGGTGCCTACAGCCTGTCCATGTGCTGCAGCAGCTGCCCCTGCCATTCGCCTCAGACCTCTGCCCCCGCAAGACCGCAGCTCTTCCCTCAGCCCTTGAGCCCCCGCAAGACCGCAGCTCTTCCCTCAGCCCTTGAGCCCCGCAAGACCGCAGCTCTTCCCTCAGCCCTTGAGCCCCGCAAGACCGCAGCTCTTCCCTCAGCCCTTGAGCCCCGCAAGACCGCAGCTCTTCCCTCAGCCCTTGAGCCCCGCAAGACCGCAGCTCTTCCCTCAGCCCTTGAGCCCCGCAAGACCGCAGCTCTTCCCTCAGCCCTTGAGCCCCGCAAGACCGCAGCTCTTCCCTCAGCCCTTGAGCCCCGCAAGACCGCAGCTCTTCCCTCAGCCCTTGAGCCCCGCAAGACCGCAGCTCTTCCCTCAGCCCTTGAGCCCCGCAAGACCGCAGCTCTTCCCTCAGCCCTTGAGCCCCGCAAGACCGCAGCTCTTCCCTCAGCCCTTGAGCCCCGCAAGACCGCAGCTCTTCCCTCAGCCCTTGAGCCCCGCAAGACCGCAGCTCTTCCCTCAGCCCTTGAGCCCCGCAAGACCGCAGCTCTTCCCTCAGCCCTTGAGCCCCGCAAGACCGCAGCTCTTCCCTCAGCCCTTGAGCCCCGCAAGACCGCAGCTCTTCCCTCAGCCCTTGAGCCCCGCAAGACCGCAGCTCTTCCCTCAGCCCTTGAGCCCCGCAAGACCGCAGCTCTTCCCTCAGCCCTTGAGCCCCGCAAGACCGCAGCTCTTCCCTCAGCCCTTGAGCCCCGCAAGACCGCAGCTCTTCCCTCAGCCCTTGAGCCCCGCAAGACCGCAGCTCTTCCCTCAGCCCTTGAGCCCCGCAAGACCGCAGCTCTTCCCTCAGCCCTTGAGCCCCGCAAGACCGCAGCTCTTCCCTCAGCCCTTGAGCCCCGCAAGACCGCAGCTCTTCCCTCAGCCCTTGAGCCCCGCAAGACCGCAGCTCTTCCCTCAGCCCTTGAGCCCCGCAAGACCGCAGCTCTTCCCTCAGCCCTTGAGCCCCGCAAGACCGCAGCTCTTCCCTCAGCCCTTGAGCCCCGCAAGACCGCAGCTCTTCCCTCAGCCCTTGAGCCCCGCAAGACCGCAGCTCTTCCCTCAGCCCTTGAGCCCCGCAAGACCGCAGCTCTTCCCTCAGCCCTTGAGCCCCGCAAGACCGCAGCTCTTCCCTCAGCCCTTGAGCCCCGCAAGACCGCAGCTCTTCCCTCAGCCCTTGAGCCCCGCAAGACCGCAGCTCTTCCCTCAGCCCTTGAGCCCCGCAAGACCGCAGCTCTTCCCTCAGCCCTTGAGCCCCGCAAGACCGCAGCTCTTCCCTCAGCCCTTGAGCCCCGCAAGACCGCAGCTCTTCCCTCAGCCCTTGAGCCCCGCAAGACCGCAGCTCTTCCCTCAGCCCTTGAGCCCCGCAAGACCGCAGCTCTTCCCTCAGCCCTTGAGCCCCGCAAGACCGCAGCTCTTCCCTCAGCCCTTGAGCCCCGCAAGACCGCAGCTCTTCCCTCAGCCCTTGAGCCCCGCAAGACCGCAGCTCTTCCCTCAGCCCTTGAGCCCCCCAAGACCGCAGCTCTTCCCTCAGCCCTTGAGCCCCCCAAGACCGCAGCTCCTCTCCCTTAGACCTAGAGGAGCCCCTGCCCAGACGGCCCGGCCCTCCTCTTCAGGTCCTTGTGAATCCCTGAGGCTCTGAGACCACAACCCTGAGTTCGCTCCCGCTTCCCTTCTGCCAGCCTTTTAGATTCTGTGTCCACAGCCACTCCCGTCCACCCTCCCCCTAATCTTAGGAACCCTGAAGGAAGTGTTTAGAAACTGATGTAATTTCTGACGTGGAGCCGCGGGCCTGGGAGGGGAGGGGGCCTGCCTTGGGGATGGCCGCTGCCGCGAGGTGCCCCCCACTCTGCGAGGGGCCCTGTTAACGGAGGGTGGGAGGGGCCGCCCTTGCTGCTGAGTCAGAGGGGGCCGGCTTGGGCGTCCTGAAGGGCGGGCAGGCGGGAGGCTCGCGCAAGCGGTGGGCAGGCCGCAGTGCCGGCAGGAATCGCACGGAGCCAGAGAGCCAGGCGCCGCGAGCCACAAGCCCGGAGCCCGCGCCCTCGAGCTCAGCGCCACGGCCTGCCTACCCTTCGGCCCCGGTTGCACCTTGTGCCGAGGGCGTCTCCTGGACCTCCTCCCTGTGCCCCGCCCGCCGCCCTTGACTCGCCAGCGCCCTCGACTCAACGGCTCAGGCAGCCATGGTGGCCGGCATGCTCATGCCGCTGGACCAGCTGCGGACCATTTACGAGGTGCTCTTCCGCGAGGGTGTGATGGTGGCCAAGAAGGACCGGCGGCCCCGCAGCCTGCATCCCCACGTGCCCGGTGTCACCAACCTGCAGGTCATGCGCGCCATGGCCTCCCTGCGGGCGCGGGGCCTGGTGCGGGAGACCTTCGCCTGGCGCCACTTTTACTGGTATCTCACCAACGAGGGCATTGCCCACCTGCGCCAGTACCTGCACCTGCCGCCGGAAATCGTGCCCGCCTCTTTGCAGCGGGTGCGCCGCCCTGTCGCCATGGTGATGCCTGCCCGCCGCACCCCCCACGTGCAGGCCGTGCAGGGTCCCCTGGGCTGCCCGCCCAAGTGGGGGCCGCTGCCAGCCGAGGACCCTACCCGTGAGGAGCGGTGGGTCTACCGCCGGAAGGAGCCTGAGGAGGGGGCACCTGAGCCCCCTGTGGTGCCCGCCACCACCCCAGGGACCCTGGCGAGGCCTGGCCCGGAGCCTGCCCCAGCCGCAG